CCAAGTTGGAGGACTCCACAACCATCTCGTGGAGGAGGAGGACTTCACGTCTCGTGAAGAACTCTAAGCGCTGCGGAGCCTATCGAACCCAGCGTGTGCCTTAAGAAGGCTATAGGGGCCTGATCAACCTCTAGCCTCTCCCCGTTGCTGAAACGCTATCCCTCGACGAACCCCTTCCCTGCGCGCTTTTGCGTGTGTATCCAGAGCTCTTTCCGAGTTACTAACAAGAGGCTCCAGTTTTCTGCGGGTCTTGGTAACAAGAGGCTCGAGTTTTTCTACGGGTCTTGGTCGAGCGAGTTTTGTAACTGCAACTTAAGCGAAGCTTTTCCTGCCTGCACCGCGACCATCTATGGTGTAAGTAAAATAATCTTTAATCAACCATTACGCATCTGTGCCTAATTCTAGTTCGTCGTGCCTGCTTTCCCCGACCCACGTGTCAGGGCTGCAGGCCACAGCCCGCCGCGCGCCCCCGAAGGCCTTGGACTGCTCCCGGCACGCACAGCATCCTATTGTGAAGGTAATTCTTCTCCCCCTGGGAGCACTGGCTGCTTTTAGAGTAAGATGGGGATGGCACAGGCTCCAAGGCTGATGTGAAGATCATCTCTTCACAGGTTCCCCCAGCATCAGGGCTGCCCTCTGCCTGTGGTGTTTCCATTTAACTGCTGCCCCTAAGCAAACCTGGGAGGTCAGCCTCTCTGTTGTTTGGGCTCTGCAGTGCTCTAGAAAAGCTGAATGAAAAGTCAATTGTTGCTGCACTGCACCAGCATGAGACTGCTTCCCTGTATGTAGACACAGGTGAGTGCTGAGCAGGTATACATTCCCAAACCCTTCTTGCTGGCAGAATTATGGACACACACAGATAGGGATGCAGTGGTGCAAGGCCAGTTTGGAGGAGCAGAGGAAGCATTTCCTACACTCCGAGCACTGATGTGGTTTCTTGTCTCTGTGAATGAGCTGGTGCTGGGACAGGTGGGAGGATCAGATGAAGCTCTTCCCATACTCCAGGCACTGATGTGGCTTCTGCCCTTTGTGGATACGCCGGTGCCAAGCCAGGCTGGAGGAATAAGTGAAGCTCTTCCCACACTGTGAGCACTGATGTGGCTTCTCCCCTGTGTGGATGAGCTGGGGCTGGGGCAGGGGGGGGGGTTGGGGGAAGCTCTTCTCACACTCTGAGCACTGATATGGCTTGTCCCCTGTGTGGATACGCTGGTGCTGAGCCAGGTAGCAGGATCGAGTGAAGATCTTCCCACAATCTGAGCACTGATGTAGCTTGTCCCCTGTGTGGATACGCTGGTGCTGAGCCAGGCTGGAGGAATAAGTGAAGCTCTTCCCACACTATGAGCACTGATGTGGATTCTCCCCTGTGTGGATACGCTGGTGCTGAGCCAGGCCAGAGGATCGGGTGAAGCTCTTCCCACAGTCTGAGCACAGATACGGCTTCTCCCCTGTGTGGATTCGCTGATGCTGAGCCAGGCTGGAGGACTGAGTGAAGCTCTTGCCGCAATCTGAGCACTGATGTGGTTTCTCCCCTGTGTGGATACGCTGATGCCGAGCCAGGTGGGAGAAGTGAGTGAAGCTCTTCCCACACTCCAAGCATTGATGTAGCTTCTCCCCTGTGTGGATACGCCGGTGCCGAGCCAGGTTGGAGGAATGGGTGTAGCTCTTCCCACACTCTGAGCACTGATGTAGCTTCTCCCTCGCATGCATGCACCAGTGCCTGACGAGGCTGGAGGAATGTCGAAACCTCTTCACATGCTTGATGCAGCGGTGTGGCAGCTCCCCCATCTGTATACACTGGTGCTGGGACAGGTCTTGCCAGCAGATGATGTTCTTCTTGCACTTAGTGCAGCGGTGTGTCTTCCTCCCCAGGTGGATGTACCGGTGCTGAGACAGGAAGAAGAAATGGGTGAAGGCCTCGCCACACTTGACACAGCAGTGCTAATGCTTCCCCCTCTGTAACGTAGGTACTTGACCAGGTCTGTGGGGCGCACAAAGCTTTTTCCCCATTTGGTGAAACAGTGGGGGAGTTCTCCAGAATGGGTCTGAGAGTGAACAGTCAGGGTGGAGAAGCAGGAGAAGCTCTTCCCCTACTTGGTGCATACGTGGGGCTTCTTCCTAGTGTAGCCTTATCTGGGGAGGAGCCAGGAGTGACGGGCACTTAAAGGCTTTCCTAACTTTCAAGCAGGGGTGGGCTCTGCCCTTGTGCTTGGTAGAGAGCTCCTGCTTCCCTCCAAGGCCCTTCCCAATGCCTCGGCTGGGATGCAGTGCATCTTTCCAGCGGCTCTTTAGGTCTCTCAGCTCCACAAATTGTTCCCTGCACCCAGGGCTCTGTCTAGGCTCTGCCCCTTCTCCACTCTCATGCTCAACTGCAGATGGTACCTGGTTCATTGCTCCGTTCGCCAGCTTTTGGGGCCTCCCCTGACTCTTGTGCCATGGCTGCTTCTCAGGTCTCAGGGAGTCCATCTTGCCCAAACTCCCTAGGGAAGTTCGTGCTGGCTCCAGGGCTGCAGGCCCCCCCAGAGGAGTCTTCTCCTCAGCTGTGCTCAGCAGCCAGGCACCTCCTGCACGGGGAAGAGAAACACCAGATTAGTGCCC